GTTCTAGCTTCAGCTCCTGTAGAGCTTAATCCAGATTTCTTCGGTGTTTTTATGGGGTCATGTCGGACCGTTGTAGAAGACAGTTTATGGGGTCATGTCGGACCGTTGTAGAAGACAGTTTATGGGGTCATGTCGGACCGTTGTAGAAGACAGTTTATGGGGTCATGTCGGACCGTTGTAGAAGACAGTTTATGGGGTCATGTCGGACCGTTGTAGAAGACAGTTTATGGGGTCATGTCGGACCGTTGTAGAAGACAGTTTATGGGGTCATGTCGGACCGTTGTAGAAGACAGTTTATGGGGTCATGTCGGACCGTTGTAGAAGACAGTTTATGGGGTCATGTCGGACCGTTGTAGAAGACAGTTTATGGGGTCATGTCGGACCGTTGTAGAAGACAGTTTATGGGGTCATGTCGGACCGTTGTAGAAGACAGTTTATGGGGTCATGTCGGACCGTTGTAGAAGACAGTTTATGGGGTCATGTCGGACCGTTGTAGAAGACAGTTTATGGGGTCATGTCGGACCGTTGTAGAAGACAGTTTATGGGGTCATGTCGGACCGTTGTAGAAGACAGTTTATGGGGTCATGTCGGACCGTTGTAGAAGACAGTTTATGGGGTCATGTCGGACCGTTGTAGAAGACAGTTTATGGGGTCATGTCGGACCGTTGTAGAAGACAGTTTATGGGGTCATGTCGGACCGTTGTAGAAGACAGTTTATGGGGTCATGTCGGACCGTTGTAGAAGACAGTTTATGGGGTCATGTCGGACCGTTGTAGAAGACAGTTTATGGGGTCATGTCGGACCGTTGTAGAAGACAGTTTATGGGGTCATGTCGGACCGTTGTAGAAGACAGTTTATGGGGTCATGTCGGACCGTTGTAGAAGACAGTTTATGGGGTCATGTCGGACCGTTGTAGAAGACAGTTTATGGGGTCATGTCGGACCGTTGTAGAAGACAGTTTATGGGGTCATGTCGGACCGTTGTAGAAGACAGTTTATGGGGTCATGTCGGACCGTTGTAGAAGACAGTTTATGGGGTCATGTCGGACCGTTGTAGAAGACAGTTTATGGGGTCATGTCGGACCGTTGTAGCAGACAATGTTGTGACAGTTGTTGTGACAGTTTACGGAGTCTTGCTGGACCCTTGTAGAAACTAACCGAAATCAATGTCGGGACAGTTTACAGAGTCTTGTCGGACCCTTGAAGGAGCTAACCGGAATCAATGCCGGGTTGTCGGACCCATGAAGGAGCTAACCGGAATCAATGTCGGGACAGTTTACAGAGTCTTGTCGGACCCTTAAAAAGTCGCACCCTCAAAAGGTGTGCCCAATCTGTCAAAAAAGGCGTGCCATCAAAAGGCGTGCCCAATCCATCAAAAGGCGTGCCATCAAAAGGCGTGCCATCAAAAGACGTGCCCAATCCATAAAAAGACGTGCCATCAAAAGTTGCGCCCTCAAAAGGCGCGCCCACTTCATCAAAAGTCGTGCCCGACAGAGTGGCGTGTCGGCCGCGTCGTCAGTGTCGATATAAACCAATGCGGAGGCTGTGCTTGAGGCAGAAGCGAAGACAAAAAAACCTGGGAAAAAACTTCTGAAAAACTCTTCGGGTATGTTTGGTTTGTGTTTGAGAGATGCGTTTTAGAGATAAAAAGTACGAAAAGTTGTTTGGTTTGGTTTTTTTTAAAAGATGTTTTGAAAAATTATTTTGAGAGAGAGTTTTGGAAAAAGTGATTGATTTGATGTGTGTGAGAGAGAGATTTGTTTGGAAAACTTGTTTGGTTTACAAGTTTTGAGTAATTTTTTTGAAAAAATTTGTTTGGTTTGATTATTTTTAAAAACTTATTTGTAGAGAAAATTTCCCAAATTTTTTTCAAAAATACAAACCAAACGAACCTTTCATTTTCTGAGAGATTGCCTCTAAGAGCTGCAAATCTTGAAACACTCCCCTTCCGAACATTATCAGTCTGAAATTGCTATTTCGCTGAAACACTCAGCAACCCCAAAAACATGGCCTCTTCTTCCCGTTCAGCTACCCAGAATATGGCCTCTTCATCCCGTGGTCTGCTCACTCTCTTTCCCGACCTCAATGAGTGAACAAGAGAGAGAACTGGTGCGGTGGCCAGTGAACCTCAACCAAACACCTCTGTGTTTGCTCCGTTGAACTTTCCGATGCGGTCGGTGGAGCAAAAAATGGCGGTGCAAACTGATATTGAGGCCAATCAGTATACTCTGAAGTCATGCGTGGAAACCATGACTGCGGTCACAAACCTGTCGCACCGGCTGCAGAGCAGGACAAATGAGGTGCAACAGTTAAACTCCCAGCTGGCTCTGCTCCAACGCATGTATAAGGATGCGCGAGCAGAGATAAGTGTGCTAAACGCGAAAAATAAGGAGCTGAAGCGGAAGGCCACCGTTATGTTCCGATTTGGAGGTCCGCCATATGCTGCAGTGGAGGAGTATGAGGGAGTGAACGTGCTCGGCGGCGTAGGAAACACGGAGGCAGCACCAGCAAGGGCCGCCCAGGACGGAGGCAAGAAGAAGAGACCAACGGCAGAGTAGAGAAGGGATGTCGGTGTGTGGCCGTCTGCAGAAAAGAAAAACAAAGCCGTTGTTGTTGTGGGTGTTGGATTTGCGGGTTTTTTTTTTTTTCGCTGTAAAATTCTGATCGGGGTTGATCCCCGGCATGAAGAAACAACAAGTTTGTGGAATGATGAAATTTTTTATTTTTTATTTTTTTTTGTGAAAAGTAAGGGAATCGAATAATAAAATAAAATATGGAGATGGTGATAAAATGATAAGCATGGTGATGATGAATATATAAGAATGAATAAAAATAATAAAGGATGGAGTGGGGAACAAGACGAATAGTTTTATAATAAAAAATAAAATTTGAGCGGTGGATGCAAGAATGGCCACGCCTCTGTGTATCAGTGTGTGATAGGAGAGTGAAGGAAAGTGCAGCCTTTTTTTTATTTTTTTTTATTTTTTATTTTTTTTTTTGGAGAGACCAAGAGAGAGAGCACATGTCTCTGTATCTCTCTAAATATGTTGTCTGCCATGCCACCATCAACACAACAGGGGACACAGCATATTTGGAGTTCTTCATTAGGCACACAGATAATACCCCAATTAGTTCAGAAGCTGAAAAGCAACGGGTGATTCTATGCTTACAAGCTGTAATAGAAAGGAGAGCATCCGAGGGTGTGAGGTTAGAGCTATGCACAGCCGATAGGAGCGGGCTCTTGGCGGATGTAACCAGAACCTTCCGCCAAAATGGTCTAAACATTACAAGGGCGGAGATATCGACTACAAGAGAGACGGCTACAAGAGAGACGACTACAAGGGCGGAGATATGTGCGATTTCAAGGCCATCTCGCTACAGTCCACGATCCGATTGTTCCTCTGATTGCTTCGCAAGCTCCGAATCGAAGCACCATCGCCGACGATTCCACCGTGTGTTGGTTCGAAGAGCGACGCGACGAGGAGTAACAGCAGCAGAAGAGTGACGAAGTGCGAGAATCTCGATAGAGCAGTTGCCATGGTGTAATAATATGCTGCGGAATATGTGGGGAGCTTTGATGAAGATGATCCAAATGTCTCCGGCGAGAATATGACTCCGATTGCCAAGAAAGCCACTCGCTGCTATGAATCGACTCATCCAACCCATCTTTGCCGATTTCCGAGAACCAAGACAACAAACACTGATTTTTCTGCTCCATTTCCAAGAACCAAGAGAGAGAAACCGCCGGATCTGTGGCACCAGACGGTGTTTCTAAACTGAGGAGAAGTGAAGAATGTCGTGAGGGGTTCGTTGGTAGGGCCAGAATCGGCTGGAAGAGAGCTTGTGTGTCGTCTATGTGTGTGTCTGGGTTGACTGGGTGAGTCAAGGAAGAAATTTCAAGGTATGTGTAGAAAATTATAGGGGATTAGGTTGAGGTCCGGCGGGCAGCTAAGGTGAGGTTGCCGCCCGCCGGGGAAGCGAATATATTAGGTTCTAAACCTGCTCTGATACCATGTAGAAATTTAATGTATATTATTGATTGATGTATTACAAGATTGATTATATTCTGTATATTACAATTCCTATATATAGAGGAGAAGATGGTAGTGGAGTGTGTGATAGTGGAGATGGTAGGTGTGGAGAAAGATAGTGGAGGTAGTAGGAGTGTGTGATAGTGGAGGTGGTAGGTGTGGAGAAAGATAGTGGAGGTAGTAGGTGAGTGGTAAATTCTGGTAAATTCTAACAATTCCACAGTTACATAATGCTTAATTTTAAATGTAAGCAATCAAACTTAATATGCGGTTTGCTTCTCTAGATATCTCTGTTTGTTGTGCTTATTTAGTAATGATTTTTACTTATTTGTTAAAGAGTATTATTCATTTGTACGAACTGAACAAATCAATGAACTACAGTCTTCGAAACTGCCAAACCTCTGTTGAAGATAATATTCTATCTATTATTTAAATGTTATAACTACTAACTGGAATGTGAGTAGAAGTGGGTATTAACATGAGAACTAGGGGAAAATGGTTTTATACCTACGTATGTATAGGCATGCACAAACACACTAACATACGAGGAAAATTTGGAATGGGGAATTATAGGAATCAAATGGGTTAATCCTAACCATCAAAGCTATCAAGTTATTTGCTGGTCCATTGTCCATGTATCATCTATCTAACAGTAATTATCATTTAGCTAAATAAAATCCCATAGCAAGTTTCACAAACTGTTGATGCTACTGTTATGGATTGGATGTTCCTCGAAATATGTGAAAAAACCTATAGGAAAAAAAAAGTGTATGACTTATGGTTTTCAAATTTGTGCAACAAGTTGCATATTTGATTTTGTTTAATACCTATATTGTTTTCCCTACCATTCAATTTCATCTTACATAGCCTTAACTGATCTTGAAATGAAAATAAACAGATACATTTCATCCTTTAAGCTCATTGGCTGATGTAAAATGAAAATTGACTTTCTTTATTGTGTTCTGTGTAGGATTGAAACCGAGCACAATATACTATTATCGGTGTGGGGATCCTTCTATACCAGCCATAAGTGAAATATACTCTTTCAAGACTATGCCTGTTTCTGGACCACGGACTTACCCAGAAAGAATTGGAATTGTGGGAGATCTGGGTCTTACGTACAATATGACAACCACAATCAGTCATTTGATTGGTAATAAACCTGATCTTGTCTTGTTGATTGGTGATGTGACTTATGCAAACCTATATCTCACAAATGGAACAAGCTCCGACTGCTATGCTTGCTCATTTTCGCATACGCCCATACATGAGACCTACCAACTTCGTTGGGACTATTGGGGAAGGTAAAAATGCATCATTTAACACCTGTACTTCCTTACTTTCTTTACTCTTCCTTCTACATTTGATTTATGGATTGCTTCTTTGAACCTGGTTCTGCAATATATATATATATATATATTCTTATGTTAATATCAACAGGTTTATGCAGAATTTAGTTTCAAAAGTTCCAATAATGGTGGTAGAAGGGAACCATGAGATCGAAGAACAGGTTGAAAACCAGAAATTTGTAGCTTACAGTTCTCGATTTGCTTTCCCATCGGAAGAAAGCGAGTCTCCATCCACATTGTACTACTCTTTCAAGGCAGGGGGAATACACTTTATAATGCTTGGGGCTTATATTGCCTATAATGAAACAGGTCTGGTATATTTTTCTACTCTTTTCATTTATCTTTTGTTCGCCTTGTTGGATTATTGTACTGACTCTTTAAGTAGGCTAGTGTATGTTGCCTCTAGATCCCGGTACTACTTGACTCTATTGGTCGGCATCAGTTTTAATTGATGGCCAAGGGAAAAAAACAATTGAACCAAGCACGTGGAGTGTACCATACATTGCTAACTTTGCTTGATTGAAAAAACTAAGCATGGAACTTGGGCTCTACGTATTGGAGTGAGTAGCTGTTTGATGTCACTAGAGTGCCTTTTTTCTTCAATGCAAAAATGCAGCATTCCAATTTTATAGCATTTGAAGGCCAAATTCATGTATAAGAAATGAATTTGGATAAAACAGACTATGTAGTACCCAAAGTTTTGAGACTATCACCTTTTTTGCAGTATATTCATGTAATGCTACAAAATAAAGTGGATTCCTCTGTTTTCTATGTAAAACGTAATTAGTGGGATTCTATTTCTTGGATTTATGAGCCTACTCTATTGAATGGTATAGGGTGATGAATAAGTTAGCTTGTGTCACTGGAGAAGAATATTTATCGATAGATCCTGAATTGTCATCATATTCTGTCCCGGGATGTGATTTTGTAGGCCTGGTCCAAAACCTATTCACATATTAAAAAGAAGTGCTGGCAGCCAGAGGCAGAACCATGATTTTGACTCGAAGGGGCCCAAACATGGGTCTTCTTCTTCATAGATTCTTCTGATACATTTTCTTCTGAAAACAACAATTTGCGTCCGAGTCGTCATAAGTCTCACCAAAAGAGATTTCAAGGCTTTAATTGCCATTTAAATTTTATTAGGTTGCCTGTTTTTATTTATTTTTGTGCTTTCTGAACTGATATTTTTTCCTCGAGTCAGAAATTATGATTAAAGGTCAAGTGTAAATGATTTTATTGGGTTCGGACCTTTAAGAAAAAATAGGGACTTTGGAACACAACCCACTGCAGAGATTTTAGAAATTGTTGGAAGAATGCCAATAGTGTTAGCTTCTGTTGAAAATATCCGTACCATATATATAATGCGCTGACGAGTTATGAACAGTAAATTTTTGTCCTACATGAAAAATCAATTTTACCCCTTCCATTTCATCTTTAGTTGGTGTTGCCTTGGGGTAATTTTTGTCCTTTGACCTTTTGATGAATTTTTTGTATATTGGACACATGGATTTCCTCCCATTCAGAATCCACCATATCTTATCTTTTTTGTATCTTCACCAATACCACAAAGTTCACTTACATCATCATCATCACTCTTTATAGAAAAGCTCTCGAGAAACCATAAGTCCATGAAAATACTCTTTAAGCTCCCACTCTCCCTCCATCAAACCCTAATCCCAAACCCCATCTTAGAGCATCTCCAACATCCATTGAACAATTGTCATGACCCGGACCAGCCTTACTTTCAGCTTCAAAGACAAAGTTTCAAAATAATAATAATATATACGGGGCCTGAAGCTGTGCTTACATGACATGATCATAAAACATATACCACACATCTCATAACCACCAAACCAAACCAAACCAAATCTTACGTTCCATCAAATGAGGTCGGTTACATGAATCATTTTTCTCCACGCGGCTCTATCAAAGGCCAACTCATAACAAACCATAATATTTACAAACATATTTCTTATACACATACATAAGATTATACACATAACTTAGCAAAACAAAAGTTTTACAAGCTTGGCCAAACAAAAGCTAAAGCCTCTACGTTGAGGCACATCTTAGGTAGCTTGGCAAAAGGGTTGACTCCAAAGCAATCTCTAATGTTGAACATCCTGATGCTCACCTACATACATATATATAAAACTGATTGAGCCAGAAGGCCAATGAGTAATCTCAATGTAAAGAGGTTAAATGAATGAGTTCCGTAACTTATAAAAACAATACAATGTTCTTGACAAAATCATAACATTTCTCGGATACAAATAATATATAAAGTGTATCAAACCTTTAACAAACCTTTCATAGTTTAACACGTAATGTGGTACAATTCCAAAAAGCATTATTAACATTTGACAGAACGATCTATCATATATAGAACATTCCCAATGGAATGAAAGCATACAGAACAGCCTCATTGGCCGAGCTTATACAGAACGTCCACTTTGGTCAAGTTCATGTAGAATATCCTTATTAGAACAACTCAAACGGAATGTTCACATCGTAACGGGCTCATACAGAACGTCTATCACGTGTAGATATCACGTCTATAACTGGTCGATAACATGCAGAACATCCATAAAGGTACGAAGCCATACAGAATGATTGTACACAATCGGAGCTATGCAGAACGATCATCAAGACCGACATCATATAGAACATTTATAACGAATCAATAGCTTATCCAGAACGTACATGACGAATCGAAGACAGAACCGAAGTTACCAAATATCAAAATACATTTTTCAAGTTGTCACAATAGTTGTTTTAAAAGGAAACTCATTCATTCTTAACAAATTCTCATTTTTGGGAAAACTTATCATATTGTACACAATGCAGAATTCCAAAACATATCTCATCATTCCAGGGAATTTTTTATTCAAGAATTTATCGTATCATAATTATGACAGAATATCATAGCTTATAATATCGTTTCAGAAAATACTTATCTTCTCGAATATCTCGTAATCGAAACATAGATTTCATGGAACATTAAATAACACAATCATTTCAAAGTCATTTATACGAAAATATCTTTACAAAGACATTACTCACCTTGACTAATTCAATGTTCTTCCTCAACGTTCCAACCTACACATTCACATCAAACACATCGAAACTTGTCGTTCAAATCGAATAACTCATCTTCTCTTTCTAATTTAATTACACATGTTGTTTTGTTACTTATTAATTCCCAAATGAATCATAAATTATGCCTAGGAATGCTCAAAAAGATATAGGAATGAAGATATGAACACAGAACAATATTCCAAAATGTGCTGAAACAAAGGTCTTTGCTCGAGCGCACCTTTGGTTGCTCGAGCAATCAGAGAGGTCTGCAAAACTACTGGATGGGTCTGATGTGCACTCGAGCCAACACTTGGTCGCTTGGGCGGTTGGGAAACATACAGTGAGGTCGCTTGAGCCACTTATTGGTCACTCAAACGGTCTGTAAGGATTGCAAAAGTACTGGGAGCTCGCAATGTTCGCTCGAGTGGTTTGTCAAAATTCTGGTTTTCAAAAACTAGAAAATTATGCTTTGAAGTACCATTTCAAAACTTAGGGTCATGCATGGTTTGCTCAAAAGCATGGACTTACTTCAGAAAACATTTATACATGACCCTTTAAAAACCATTTGCTTAAAATCTCTTTGATTCAACAAAATTGAACTCAAAAGCTCATGCATGGAAGATTTTCAAACTCTTTTCTCTTGTTTTCAAATTATGAACTTGACTCATAAATTCATGAAGTAAAATCCTCAAAACTCTAGAAATCAATGATGCAAGTGCAATTTAACTTTCAAACTCAACAAAGATGGAAGAAATCAAATTCAAAATGATAAAACATTACATAATCATGCATGCATGTAGAGCTACATCAATTTTCATCATCTTTGAGCCAAAACCTTACCAATTATTCATAAACAAGCACAATCTCTTCTTAATTACATGAACTAGATGAATTATCTTCATGAATTAAAGGTCAAATCCTTACCTAGAGCCTTGAATCTTCAAGATTTAGAGATGATTCCCCTTATAGCTCTTCAATTCAACACACGCAACTTTCTCTCTTTAGAATGAGAGCTCACTCTCTCTCTAAAGAACTCTCCCGCGGAAATGAGAATGAAATTGAGCTCATTGCTCTTTTAACACACACATATATATACATGTGATTAGCTTAAGTTAATTAAGTAAGCTTAAGGCCAATTAAGCACAACTTATTCTTACTAAACTGAATCAAATTTTAATTAAATTTCCCAAAAAGTTCTAAATGTTCTAATTTGTCTATCTAACTTATCAATTTTGGTTTTTGAAACCATTAAGGCCTTCAATTTCAAATTCAGAACATAAATTAGATCAGTTAGTTTACAGATCAGACAGATATACACAATTAATTACAAAGCACATATCACAACTAAAAATTTACACAATTAAATAAAAGCAATTATGATATGCATGTTGAGGTTGTCACAACAATAAGGGCATTTTACCGAGAAAAGAAAAAAAATAGAGGCATTTTTAGCCATTTTGGAGACTGGACAAATGACTTTCTTGCCATTTTCAGCTTCTCCTAACCAAGCCCCATATAGATTGGAAGTAGGGATGGCCATTTTAGCCAGATTTGCGCCCATACCCGCCCCAAACGGCGCGGATGTTACCCGACCCGACACTTGTGTGGGGCTTGGGTAGATTACATTTTGATCTCCTGTAGCAGGGGTGGGTATCACCTCCTCCAATCCAAACCTGACCTGATATATTTAATAATATATATAAACAAATAAAGAAATTATGGGCTAACTAGGGATTCTTGTAAAACACAAACACCACAAATTGATATGGTGGTTTGCACATTTAAATATTTTATTTAAAACCAAGTAAAAATAACTATTCTGTAGAATGGCGGTTAAGGTCAGGTGTCGATCCATAGGAACTAATGACGAATAGTTTAATTTAGAAATTTATATTTGTTTGTGAATCTTTAGAGTGAAAATTGAACTAATTAATTAAGCAATTAATTAAACGAAATGAAATAAATATCTTAAGATTTCGAATCCATCACTAACCTTATAATTGGGAGTAGGGGGCGGGGGCTAGGGCGGACAAATCCACTCCAAACCTGCCCCATAGTCGTCCATAATTGTAAGCAAAAGCAACTTCAGAGAATTTAGTCGTTGTCTTGAAGGATCTGCAACTCATCATGTATGGAGCTCCAAAACCCTTTGCAACTGCATCTTTCCTTCTGCAACTCCCTACAATTATCTTTGTGGCTGTGCTGTTTTGGCCTCTACTTTGTCTTTTGGA